GTGACATGAAACCAGGTGGCACTTGACACTCAAAATAGCTACAAGCAAGTCATTGTTGGCTCCAAAGTCAATAATTTGCCAGAGGTCAAGAAGGAAAATCGGGTTATGACTTCATTTCCTAATGCTTCAGATTTCAGGGTTTTCCCCTGCCCTGCCCTCCCCAGTTTCACAGTACTTTTTGTTGTTGTTTTTAAGTCAAAACGGACGTTTATATGTCTCATACACAAATAATGTGGACTTAGACGTTGCTAATGGAATTGCTTGAGACTAGTGTCCTGGATGTAAATTGGGCTCTTTATTCCAAGTATTTGTTTTCAAACCATGCCAATGGAGCTCCCCAGCCTGCTCACGCTGATTTACTGGCCTCCAATGAAAACCATTTAAATATTTGCAGTGGAGCTCTCTTTAGTGAGTTCAGTTGAATGAATAGTTGAATAAATAGTAAAAGGATCAATTTTTGTGAAGGAACAGTAACGTTCAATAATATCTTTTTAAATGTAGTAACCTTTTTGACTTTTAAATATTAGAAAATCTTAACAATGTGCAGCTGGAGAGTGAATGCCCTTTTGATAATTGAATATTTTTTCTGGGATACAAAGCCCTAGATTTAACAGCTGTCCAGTCAACAGTGAAAGCTATACTCAGTTGTGTAAACACTGACCTTTTCTTATCCAATTTCTCCCTGATTTTGTTGATACATGTCTAAGCACTCTCCTTTGCTATGGCCTATTCAAATCTTGAATAAATTTTTTGTTACTTACTAGCAACTCAGCTAGAGCTGGGCACAGTAAGACCATGATGAGAATAATAGGATCTTGTTATTTGGTGATAACAAATTGCTATTTGGTTATGTCTTTCAAGACAAGATACTCATACTAAAACAAAATTTGGGAAATGTGGTGATGGAATAGAATTTAGTTCTAGAGAAAATCCACAACGATTCAAGATCTTTAAAGCTTACTTTGGACATGTTTTGTATCTTCTAGCCCTATGGTGCCACGTATTCCTATGTTTAATCAGTAGATTCAAAATAACTATAATACCACAGAGGTTATAAAGACAAATTGAAATTGAGTTAAGTCTGTCATTTTATTTTACTGCTAGGCATTTTTTTTTTATTTCTACTTTACATTAAAAACAGCAAAACAGTGTGAACTGGGAGGTGTTATTTATTTGCTTGGTAAATACAAATTTTAAGCCATACATAAAATAGTTGACTGAGTTTTAACAATATCTATAAAATAGAATCTTATTCTTTTAAAAGTGTGCTCATTTTAAAATTAAAGAACAAATCAAGAAAATTAAAGAACAAATCAAGATAATTATTGATTCTTATATGATGTTGACTGAAAATAATTTCACCATATGAGAAGGGGCTTGGTCCTGCATATTAAGTCCCTCGGGACCAGTGAAGGCAGCAGTCACCTCTTGTGGCCACGCCATCTTTCTTTACACCTGCTTCTTTTGGCTCTCAGGATACATTCTCTCCCAGTTTTTTTTTTCCTACCTAATAGTCTCTTGCAGGATTCTCTTTTCCTCATCTCTTAAAATACCACATTTCTCACATTTCTATCCCAGACAATCATTTCTTCTTAACCTGCAAGTTTCGCTGAGCAATCTCTTTGGCCCCAATAGCTTCAGTTATCAACTGCATGTTGACAGCTCCCAAATCTATACCTTTGACTTAAATCTCTCTCCTGAAATAACCTGTTTATCCAACTCTCTGCTGAGCATCTTCTTTTATACAGAGCTAAAACATCTCCAAATTCATTTGTGTAAATCTGAGCTCATTAACTTTACATGCTTGTTAAAGTCTGGAAAGCCAGGAGTTAATTTATCCTTCTTTTCCACTTCATGCCTATTCAGTCATCAGGGCTGACAAATATCTCTCCTGAATAGTCTTGTATCATCCACTTATCTGCTGTCTCACTGTTACTACCACTACCCAGGACACATCCCAATAATTTCAGTAGTTGCCTTGTATATTACAGACAAAGCTCTTTCTAAAGGGTAAATTGGATAATTTCACTACTAGCTTATCATGATTTAATAACTTCCATTGTCTCTATTTGCAAGATACATATAAAGAGGTCCTTTTTACCTTCAGAGTCTCGTCTCTCAGCCACTGTGACCCTCTCTCAGTTATTTTTATATGTTTTAAATTCTTTTTTAATTCCAAATCATTGATTATGCTGTTTCTATCCTCTAAATTCCAAGGAAAATGTAATTTTCTCTGTAAAGTGTCTGCCACTCATGTTTGGATTAGATGCTTTCCTCTGTACCCTATCAGAGCCCCAACTGCTAGCTGCAGTTTATCTCTTTTTTTTTTATTAAAGACAAGAGAAGGTAGAGAGCTGTCTTATTTCTTTTTTTTTTTTAATATTTATTTATTTATGCATACAAGAACTGGCATACAAGCTAGAGATGCGGGGGTGGGGATGGGTTGAGAGGATTCACCAAAGACAGAGCAGGGAACAGAACAGGCAGACTGACCAAAGTACACTGCTGAGGGGAGCAGCGAGCGAGTCAGGAGAGGTCTGCTGCGCCATGTGGGTTGCGCCCTGGCTGCCTGGGGATCGAACTTGTGCTGCAGAGGCTGCGGATTGCTTCATAGTGCAGTGCTTAACTACTTGCGCCACCAGGGAGGCCCTGTCTTATTTCTTAAGAGAAGACACAGAGCTGTCCTATTTCTTATTGTATTTCTAGGACCTTATGCAATGCTGCTACAGAGTATGCATTAGTATAAATATACTGTTAAATGAATTGAATATATATAGGAATTACTTTTCTCCTACCAGGAATTTCTCTACATCCATCCAAAGCATGGTTGCTTTGTTTATGGGTCCTAGTATTAATTGTTTGATTTTGACTTATTTCATTCCTAGAAAACTTTTCTAAGCTTCATTATTTATAATCACACTAATGATTTATTTCAGAACGTATTGTAGTATAACATTGATACGTGCAAAAGGAAATCTGGAAGATATTTTTTCACCCTCAGGAAGTAGTGTGATGGTAAATACATTTAAATTCACCATGTGGTGACAGAATGCAGTCTTTTGGCCAAACTTAGAATTGTCCTTTCAATTTTAAACCTCTGTACCAACAGAGATTATGATCTTAAGTCTCTCTCTTTGTTTTGAGCTTCAGGGGAGAGCATGTAGAGTGGATTTTTCCTGATTCCAAATGAAGAGATACACAAAAACTAAAGGCACTTCCTAAATACAGGATGAGGCTTTTATTGCTGAAGAAATAGGAGAGGGTCCTTATCAAATTCTTAGCCGGGCGCATGAACCTTCCCTTCATGTTTCTATCACCAGCAGTGGCTGCTCCTGGTCTGGTGTTTACATAAAGATGAGAGGCGCTGGATTCCGGGCTCCCTGCTGGCCCGAGGCGGAGCTGACAGCCGCAAGTAACAGGCACCTGGATGGGCTCCCCACAGGTCGGCAGGGTTTCCCCTCAGCTTCTCCTCGCCAGCAGATTTTGAGCAGTGGGTATGTTCCAAATGTGTCAAGGCATATTTTGCAAACATCATTGCAGATTCATCCATTATGTCTTGCCCTTTTTTAGAGCTTAACAATAAAGGGCCATTTTTAACCAAGAAAAGAAAGAAAAGCAAGTACACACTGATGTTTTATAGCATGCCAGGAAGCACAGTGAGATTCACCTATTTCCTTGAGATCTTTCAGGCCCTATTATCTGTGACTCTTTGTTATTTTTCTTTCCACGACTGCTATTCAAGCTATACTTTCATGTTTATGTGCTCTGAAATCCTATATATTACAAAGTGTGTACTACAGGGTATGCTTTGAGGAAACACAGACCTGTATACTCTGCTCCAGGTGTTTATATGTGTACCTGCATGTGTGTATGTGTGTGTGTAAGCACATATACAACTTAGACTATAAACACCTCAAGCATGAGAATCATAAATACCTCCAGCACTAGCTGTTCCTGTCCCCACAGGACAGGAAACACTTGATACTTAGCACATTTACACATGCACACAAAAAAGACAAAGCTCTTGAATATATTTTGTGTGTATTTATTGGAGTCTGCACTATCTTAGGAAGATATTTGAGGGACAGAATTTGAATCATTAAAATGGATTCCTCTGTATTTCATTTCTTTCTGCGCACTAGCAAGTGTTGTATAAGCTTCCTCGGGCTGCTGTAACAAATCACCATAAATGTGGTGGCTTAAAACAACAGTAATTTATTCTCCCACTGTTCTGCTGACTGGGAGTCCAAAATCAGTTTCACTGGGTGTAGCGGCAGGAGGGCACCAGAGCAGAGGGGGCAAAGGAGGGTTCTGGAGCCCTCAGTGGATTTTCAGGCTTTAAATGATCTTTCCACACCATTTGCCATGAGGCAACCAGGTGCAGAGGGGACAGGGGAACAGGAGGCTGGCAGGCCAACCGGCCCCCCGCCAGTCTTCCCTCTTTCTGGGTTCTCTGACCTGCTCTTGTGGTCTCTCCGCTGTCTCTACCACTCTCTGCCACACAATCTTCTGCTGCTCAGTTTTCTATGATGCCGCCCTTGATATGCTCAGCCTCCAGGCTCAGGTGTGCCCACCTATGCACGCCCACACCACTCTGCAGGTGCCCCCATAAGGCATGCGCACAATGAGCCCACGCTCTCCTGCACTAGCACCATCAGAGCCACAGATGATAGCCACAGCGGCCAGCGGCTCAAAAGCCTGAGCAATCTTCATTTACCCTACACTGGGTCAATGTCAAGGTGCTAGCAGGGCCCCAGGCCCATCAGAAGCTCTAGGAGTCTGTTCCTTGCTTCTTTTAGCTTTTGGCGGCTGCTGGCATGACTGAGCTTGTGGCCACAACACTCCGATTTCAGTCCTAGTTGCCACATTGTTTGTTGCCTTCTCTTCTGTTTGTGTCAAATCATCCCGCTGCCTCTCAGTTTCTAGAACTCTTGGGATTCTAGAATGGGGAATGAAGGAGTGTGAGATGAAGGTTTGGAAGAATTCTCCTGCAGTGGGAATCATTACCAGGATGATGTCGATCCTGTTGAGTATAAGCTCAAATAGCACAGTCGGGGTAGCGGCGTTGCCTTGATCCTTGACCGCTGTGCTGCTGAGACAGATCCAGAAGGAGAAAGGGAAACAGGTATGACTATCCCAAGGATATGAGTTTCTGCAAGAAAGAAATTTCTGGGGATAGACTATAAAAGAATGAATGTCTATCTCATTCTTTATAAATGAGTTTATCTCATTAATGAGTTTTTCTCATTCTGATGAGATCGACTCATTCTTTTATAGGAGTGCATCATAAATAAAGGATTTTCATGATAGAATACTGGCAATTGAGAAATTGCCAGCAAATCTTGATAAAATATGTCTATTTAGCTTAAGATTTCAAGGACAGTTAATCTGTAGTGATCTAAGCCAAAATTGTTTTCTGAGTTGAATTTTGCTTCAAAATGTGTTTATGTTCAAATGGGTTACTTATTTTGGAAAAAGGAGAAAAACTTTAATAATATAAATGAATAATAAAATCCATAAATGTATATGGACAGAGAGTAACATGAAACCACAAGTGAACATCTCTTTATTCTTATATTGAGCTCAGATAAAAAGAACTCATCCTCATTTGCGTAGAGTCCTATTAGCACGAGAGGACCCAACTATACCAGTCAAGCATTAGACATCATTCTCAGAGTCCTGCTTTCTTTTCTTTTTTTTTTTTTTAAGATTTATTTATTTATTTATACAAGCACTGGGTACAGTCAGAAGCGCGGGAGGGTGAGAGAATTCACCAGAGCCAGAGCAGGGAGCAGAACAGGCAGGCTGATGAAATACACTGCTGAGGGAAGCAGCGGGCAGCAGGAGAGGTCTGTCACGCCACGTGGGACCCACGCCTGGTGACCGGGAATCGAACCGGTGTTGCAGAGCCTGCGGGCAGCTTCGCAACCCAGTGTTCAACCGCTGCGCCACCAGGGGAGGCCCAGATTCCTGTTTTCTTACAGTAAGCCCCGAGAGCTTGTGTTACAACCTTTTACTTTCGATCACTAAATATTGTTTGAGCTCTTAAAGCTAGTTAATCCCAGCTTCTCTTGTCTACAGCCCGAGAGGAAAGGCAAACATCAAAATATAATCATATTAAGTTTAATGATCAAAAGGTTACTGTTCTATGCACAGGCAAAAGCAATATTGGAAGTAGATATTATTGAATTTTCATCAAGATTTCTCTCTCCTTCTCCTCCTCTTCTCAGCTCCTCCTCCTCTTCTTCATACACTATATAATTACATTTTTACTCCCTTGCAATTAAATGTAACATTGCTTTGGTTCATCTAATTTGAGGAGGTGTTAGGTCTTTTTAGAGTCAGCACTCAGTTCACCATGCTCTTTCCTCTCTGCCACGGCAACAAGTGACATTTTCAGATAATGGAGACTCCACTACAAGTTCCAGAGCAAGCATGTGCAGAACAGAGGCTCCTGCCAATGAAAGTTGGACGTATAGCAAGAAAATGTATAAACTTTTGTGATTTTTGATCAGAGTTGTGACTTGTGTGATACTACAGTGTAACTTAAGCCTTTCCTGATTGAAACATCATTGATTTGACGTGCTTGGAATTGATGGCTAAGAATTTATGGAGCATGGGAGTGTTGGGAAATTTGCATTATTAAATTTGCATGGCACAGCAGACCTCTCCTGCCTCCCCCACTGCTCCCTGCAGCAATGTATTTCAGTAGATCTGCCTGTTCTGCTCCCCACTCTACCTGGGGGAAATTTGCATTATTAGAAGGTAAGTTCAGCCTTTTGAAAACACATTCAAAACAAATGGAAGAGGGCTTCCCTGGTGATGCAGGGGTTAAGGTCTTAGCACGATGAAGCTATCCCCAGCCACTGAGGCAAGAGTTCAATCCCCAGCCAGGGGCTGACCCATACGGCACAGCAGACCTCCCCTGTTGCTGCTCCCCTCAGCAGTGTTTTTCAGTGGATCCTTCTGTTCTGCCCCCCAATCTGTCTCTAGTGAATCCTTTCACCCTACCCCCCACACCTCTGGCCCACACCCCAATTCTTATACACATAAATAAATAACAATAAATCTTTAAAAAAATGAAAGAAAACCTATGTGCATACAAAAATCTGCATACCAATGTTTTATAAATTTTATTTATGAAATAATTTTATTTGTAATTGCCAAAACTTGGGGACAGCCAGAACGTTCTTCAGTCAGCCTATGAATAAACTGTGACACATACATACATTGCAATAGTGTTCCACGATTAAAAATATATGCTATCAAATTGCAAAGACATGAATAGATCTTAAATGTATATTGGTAAGTGAGATAAATCAATCTGAGGAGGTTACAGACTAAAAAATTCCAATGATATAACATTCTGGGAAAGGCAAAACTATGAAGAAAGAAGGTGATCCATGGACTGGGGAGAGGCAGAGAGGAAAGCAGAGAGGTGATGAGGAGGGGGCAGGAGAGATTAGTAGGCAGAGTACAGGGGACTATTAGGACAGTGGGCCTCAATATAAACTATCAACACAGTTAATAATAATGGATTATTGTTATTATACAAGTAATACAAAACTAGCAGGCAACTACAAATTGGAGACATTCAGCAGGGCGGGGTCGGGGGAAGAGCACAAGGGACGATGGTGATGGTGCACCGGTGAATGGGTGGTGGGAATTCTATAGGAGAAAGCAAACATTGTACAAACATGAACAATAATATAAAATATATATATATATAAATATTAAAAAAAAGTCTTGATAGTGGTTCATCGTTTGTAATAATGTACCACACTGATGTAAGATGTTAATAATAAGGGGAAGCTGGGCCTCTCTGGTGGCGCAGGGGTTAAAGACAGCACTATTTCCAGCCACTGCAGCACAAGTTTGATCCCAGCCAGCCAGGGAGCTACCCACATGGCACAGCAGACCTCTCCTGCCTCGCCCACTGCTCCCTGCAGCAGTGTATTTCAGTAGATCTGCCTGTTCTGCTCCCCACTCTGTCTCTGGTGAATCCTCTCACCACCCATACCTCTGGCTTACACCCCAGTTGTTGTATGCATACGTAAATAAATCTTAAAAAAAATTAATAAGGGGAAGCTGAAGAACAGGTGTTGGTGTCAGGGCATAGGAATCTCTTTCTGTATTTCCTACAATACAATTTCATTCCCTTCAATGTTCTGTAAACCCAAAACTTCCTGTAAAAATCATGAAAAAATAAAGAATAATTTCACTGAGTTAAATACCCAAGAGTCACTTAAATTATTACGAGTCAAATCAGTAAATTGTGGCTGGTTGTTGCACTGAAGTTGGGTTGGTAGATTCAATTGCGGAGTATTTGATGAGTGAGAGGAGTTATGACTGTTACCCCAACGAGGACATGGGAAAATATGTAATTTTTGGTGAGAATAAATTTAGGTAAATCATGGATAATGGGAAAGGGTTTTTTTTTTTAAACAGCACGAGTGAGTCTATAGGACCAGAAATATGCCATCCTGTGGGCAGAAATGATGCTGCAGCACAATGTTGTTTAATCAGGAGGAATGTCCCATTGAGTACACTTACTTGGAGATTAGAAATAAAGTAAGTTGGAGAGACCCACTTTGGAAATGACAACACGAGGAGCTCTGTTGTTCTGCAACCATCCCAGGTAGGTTCATTGTCGGTTCAGGCACCTTGAAAGAAAAACTTGAAGCCCTTGGCATCATTCCTCCAGGTTAGGGGAAACAAGCCAGCAAGGAGACAATTTGGGCCCCCTGCATATTCCTGTACACTCTTGCCTCTCCTAGCCTTTCTCTGACCCTCCCCACTGTACACCCGCACTCCTGTCCTCTGCTGCACTCCATCCTCTGCGACGCCGTCCTTATAGGCGCAGTGTCTCCGCTCAGGTGTGCCCACTCCCGCATGCCCAGACCACATGCCAGGTGTCCACCATCAGGCATGCGTGCCCTGAGGCCCTTCTGCATTCAGGACCACAGGGGATAGCCAGAGAAGCCAGCAATGCAAAAGCCTGAGCAATCTTCATTAGCCCGGCAACTGTAAACTTATGCCCCAGCAAAACACCGTAACTGGTGTAAACTATTTCCCTAGAATACTCTGATAGCTCCCCTAAAAACATACAGCAAATGAAGAAATATTTATGCAAGAAAATCTATTAAATCTTGGGAAGTATAGTGCAAGTCTGTGGCATTTGAGCTCTGGCCAATTTCTTCTCCCCCACCTCAGCTTAGTGTGATGACGTCTCAGCACTATGAAGCTATCACCAGGAGCTGAGGCAAGAGTTCAATCCCCAGCCAGGGGGCTGACCCACATGGCACAGCAGACCTCTCCTGTTGCTGTTGGTTTTCCCAGGAGCTTGGTTTGCAACCTGTGGAGGCTTCCCCACACCAGCAGGCAATTCTTGAACAGCAGCAGATTATTAAATTTTTTTCTTTTTTTTCTTTTTTTTTTTTTTTTTAGCAGATTATTAAATTTAACTCAATTCTTCACAATTCCGGCACTATCGACCTGGAGAGAGCATCGGATTATCTAGGTTAAGGGCTCAGTTTCCCAAGACTGCCCTTACCTTTATATGTTGGCCAGAAGCCAGGCTGCCACCTGGATCAAGCATCTACTGGAAATTCCCATGACCTGTTCCCCCCTCAGGCTTCAGGTGCCCATTGCAAACCCAGATTATTATCCTGCTTCTGACTACTATAAATCATAAGTTGCCAGAGCAACCTCCTCAGATTTTATTAATTTTCTAGAGTGTCTCAAAGATTTCAGGAAACCTGCTTACACACTAGATCACTGATTATTGGAAATGATCTAACTTGGGAGCTGCCAGTTGGAAGCTCAAGAGACCGTGTATGTACTCTCCACTCACAGCATTCTCTTCAAATCTCTGTGATCACTAACACAGAAGCTCCTCAAAGCCCCTCCTCTTTTTTTAAGAAGTGGGATACAGGCCCAAGTCATGGGGGGGAGAGGGTGCAGTAAGAAGATTCACCAGAGATAGCAGGGAGCAGAACAGGTAGATGTACCGAAACACATTGCTGAGGGGAGGAGCAGGCCAGAGAGAAGAGGTCTGCTGCACCATGTGGGCTGCCCACCAGCCGCCCAGGGATCGACCTTGTGCCGCAAAGGCCGTGGACAGCCTCACAGCACTGCACTGTGAGGCCCTACGCTACCAGGGAGGCCCCAAAGCCCCTCCTCTTGGCCTTTTTGGAGGATTCACTACATAGGCATGATCAATTAACTCATAGCCATTGGCAATGGAACTCAACCTCTTACCTCCCAAGAGGGCAAATGGATAGGACTGGAAATTCTCTTTAATCATGTGATGAGTTCCCCTGGCAACCATCTCCCATCCCTAAGTCCTATCCATAAAGTTACATCATTAAATAAGAGACACCTTTATCACCCTCAGCACTTAGGAAATTTCAAGGCTTTGGGGACAAATGTAAGCCAGAACTGTGGATGAGAGCAAAATATGTATGGGAGACATACTTTGACAATCTGATTAATTAAATATGACTATATATATCTCCTATAAATCACAATATCCTTAAATCTCAAAATCTCTAGGACCCACTCAAGTGGTTATGGCTCTCTCTTCCCAGCACTCAGTTAAGGGCCAGGATACCAGAATTTCTCATCCCCTGAAAAGCTCTGTTACAGAGGCTCAGTTTCAGGTAAGTGCCACTAAAAGTGAAGGGTTCTCTTCTTGTAGTTATCTTCCACATTAAGGGAAGTGTGCCTGAAGTGTGGCAGTCAAAAATACTTTACTTTGATTACCCTCATCCGAGCTTCTTCATAGGACAGAGGAAATGGTAAGGCGGGTAGACCCAGGAATATCATCCCCACTCACTACCCTGCTTAGAAAACAGGGGTGTTATTCTGAGAGAACAGATCACTATCTCTGCCCCAGCAATGACACTGTAGTTTTACCCCAGGAATAAGACAGATCTTAAAACAAAAAGATCTGGAGCTTTCCCCCAAACCAATTGATTGGATTTAGAACAGAGTGTGAGGAAGTTTAAACCTAGAGTCTTTTTGAAAACAATGAAGATTGGTGGTAAGAAATTAGAGATTGATAGCTCTTTGATATCAAGTTACCAGAGAACCAGGGAAAGAGACAGCTAGGAAAAGCCCTCCTGTTTCAAAGATTGGTGTTCAAAGGGACTCTTAAAAAAGGACCTACCTTTAATTGGATCAGCCAATGGAGCAATTTTTGCCTAGAGGCACTGTCAAAAAAACAATAGAGTAACAAGTAGAAAATTGGTGGTGCTAGATGGTTGATGTAACAGAGGTCAGGGAAAGAGACAACGAACTCTGCTAAGGGCAGCATCATTCCAGGGCCATTGTGTTAAAAGAAATTAAAGAAGACCAAAAGATATGGAAAGACAGCTTAGTTTATAGATTGGAAGATTTCATTTTGTTAAGATGCTAAGACTCCCCAAAATGATTTATAAAATAAACACAATCCCTATCAAACCCCAGCTAATATTTTTGCAGAAATCAACAGACTTATTTCAATTTTTATGTAAAGAAACCTATGAGTCAAAAGAACCCTAAAAAAAGGAACAGATTTGTACTCACACTTTCTGGTTTCTAAAAATGACTAAAAAGCTACAATAATCTCCTTGGTGGTACAAGGGTTTAAGAAGCAACCTATGAAACTATCTGCAGCCTCTGCAGCATGAGTTCAATCCCCAGCCTGCCAGGGAGCAACCCACATGGAGCAACAGACCTCTCCTGTCTTGCCCGCTGCTCCCCTCAGCAGTGTATTTCAGTCAGTCTGCCTGTTCTTTTCCTGCTCTGTCTTTGGTGAGTTGTCTCACAGCCACAACCCCCCACCTCAGCAGTTCTTGTATGCATAAATAAATAAATCTTAAAAAAAAAAAAGGTGTAGTACTGGCATAGCATAATCATATAAATTAGTGCAATACAACTGAGAGTTCAATAACAAACATTATAATCAATTGATTTTATACTCACTGTATATGTGACAATATCCAAACCGAATTTTGGTTGTTTTCCATCCTGTTTTGGAGGAGTGATAAAACAAGAACGTTCATAGCATAATTATTCATAATAGCAAAAAAAAAAAATAACACCACCCAAATTTCCATCAACCGATGAATGTATGAAATGTGGCATATACATATGATAGGGAATTATTCAACATTGAAAGAGAATGAAGTACTGATAGGTACTACAATATGGATGAAGCTTGAAAACATTAAGTGAAAGAAGTCATTCACAAAAGATAACATAGTTATGTTTCCATTTATATGAAATGTCAAGAACATATCAATCTACAGAGAGACAGTATTAGTGGTTAATATAAGATAATGGAAAGAAATGGAGTTTCTTCTTGGGATGAGGAAAATATTCCTAAATTGATTATAGTGACTATGAATATACCAAAAATCACTGAATGTACTCTTCAAATGGGTAGATGGTAGAATGCATGAATTATATATCCATAAATCCACTGAAAGTGAGAAACAGAGAGAGGGAGAGAGAGTAAGCAAATAAGTAGGATGATGTATTTATACTCTGCTCTGTATTCCTGCTTCAGTAAGAATTTACTTGGTCATGACCAGAAGCAACTTCTAAGTACTATTTGTTCCCATTTATCTAGTGGCATCAACATTATCATTGTTAACAAGAAAGTTGCATTTTTTCAGAATAAAATTGTTGTTTACCATTGTTTACAATGCTATGTAAGTTTTGGAGGATAGCTTCACACATTGATATTTGCAAATATCATACTACAGCTAACACCAATATTACAGAACTGTTCACCACTATTAAATTGGCCCCCCACCACCCCTTCCTCCTACCATCCTTTCCCTTGTTCTGGTAAGCAATGTATTTTTCTTAGAGTTTGAGTCATCTTTATTGTGTTGTTAGTTTGCATGCCTTTTTAATGTTGCACATATGAGTTAAACCATCAGTATTTGTCTCATTTTATAACTTATTTCACTTAGCAATATCACATAAATATGTGAATAGCATAATCAAGTTCAATCCATGTTTCAAAAGGCAAGAGTGCATGTATTTGAGTTGAGCAGTAGTCCACTGAATTTATATCACATTTCTTTATTCAATTATCTATCGATGAGTATATAGTTTGTTGCCATGACTTGGCTATTGTGAATAGTCTTGATATGAACATAGGGGTAAACATATATTTTAGGATTAATGTTTTCATTTTGAAGGTTGCACTTTGACTATTCAAAGACCCGTGGCTTCTTGGAATTTTTCTCATATTACACAATCAGTTGTAATTTGGATCTACAGTGAATCTGAGAGTACAACTTTAATTCGATCCGTTCAACTTTTGTTTTGTTTAGCTGATCTTTAAGGCCAGTTGTGTAAACAAGCATGAAGTTTTGATGTTGTGTTTGTTAGGACACAATTTGGCTTGACTTGGGTGTGGGGGGCAATGTAAGTTTATAAGACTTCTTATCACTCAATATTCCATTATTTAATACACCAGTTCTATAAGTCTAGAAACTTTTCCACACTTAAGGGATGCTAGAAAGAAAACATTTAAAATTTTCACAAACATATAAATGTATGATTATCCTTACCATATTATATTAATATAGTTAAGATCAAAGCCTTGGTTTACTCAAGCTAGAAAGGCGCTCTTAGGTCAAGAACAGCTTATGGAAGAGCCTCTCTTCCTTAGGAAAACTGCTTCAAACTTCACCTTCCTTCTAAAATCTAGCTGTCTCTGTGGTCCCTCTAATTATGGAAACATCCACTTGAAAATGTCCCCTTTAGAAAAAAGACAGTCTTGAAGCCAAAGCCTTCCATCTGGTTCTTTCCTGAGGACTTAACTGGACAGAAATCATTATGAGTCATGCTTATCACTTCTACTTAGCCAGAGGAAAGGGCTTATTTCATCTCCACTACAGACCAATCACCTCATCTTGAATATGCTATATATTAGGGTTTTTCACTGCTATTTGCACATAAAACAAGAAAAATTTCAGCCAAGATCTATTTCCTCTCTTGGGGTTTGGGGAGAGGGAATATGATATTTCTTGGCAAATAAAATTAAATAGTTAAAAAATAAAATATTTATAACATTAATTTTTGTGGCATCAGAACAAAAGGATATTACATCTTTTTTTTAAAAGATATATTTATTGGGCCTCCCCGGTGGTGCAGCGGTTGAGCGCTGAGTTGTGAAGCTGCCCACAGCCTCTGCAGCGCCGGTTCGATCCCCAGCTGCTCCCCGGCCACTGGAGGAGGGTCCCACATGGTGCACAGACCTCTCCTGCCGCCTGCTGCTCCCCTCAGCAGTGTACTTCGGTCCTTCTGCCTGCTCTGCTCCCCGCTCTGGCTCTGGTGAATTCTCTCACCCTCCCGCGCTTCTGACTGAACCCAGTGCTTGTATAAATAAATAAAGAAATAAAAATCTTAAAAAAAAACAAAAAAGATGTATTTATTTATGCATACAAGAACTGGGGTGTAAGCTAGAGGTGCAGAGGATTGAGAGGATTCACCAGAGAGAGGGGGGAGCAGAACAGGCAGATCCACTGAAATACACTGCTGAGGGGAGCAGTGGGTGAGTCAGGAGAGGTCTCCTGCACCATGTGGGTTAGCTCACTGGCCAGCTGGGGATGGAACTTGTGCTGCAGTGGCTGGTGATAGCTTGATATTGCTGTGCCCTTAACCCCTGCGCCACCAGGGAGGCCGGGATATTACCTCTTGTTAAGAAAAAATAGCAGGAGCAGCCCAAAATGGAATTCATGCCTGGACCTGGACCCCACTCAGACAATGTCACTGCAAATGTCACTGCAGAAAGTCATAAACCAATCATTATTGAGTTTCCAGATCAGCTTGATAAGAAATCTTGCCTGCCTCTGAGGGATGATGGCTTTACTCTAAAAAAATTTTTCATTTACTGGGAACGTAATCCATCCTTTCTATAAGTGCCCTCCATTTTGTGTAACCCGGTGGCATTGTCTAGAGAGGCTTCCCTGTTCATGAATAGTTTAGCAAAGCCCATTAGGTCTCCACATTTGTGAATTTTGTTTTTTAACAATCAGTCCAATCCCATGCATAGGAAAGAGATGAACGTCTGCTCTTATGGCAATTTAACACACCTAGATAAGCACCTACTGAAACCCTGAACGTATTTATTACTTGTCAATTCCCTTAAATTATATTGATTTGGTCTTAGTTGTTGCCACTGTCAAAGTTGTCTAATAAGTGAATACTCTTGTTAAAGAACTATATTGACTAAAGGTAATATGTGGCACTGGTTTCTTGAATTTCGATAACCACAGGACCTAGATTTCCTTGACGATCTAAAATAGACAAATTCTAATTCCAGTTTCTACCCTGGTGAGTTTCATATCAAGATGTTAGTTGTATCACACTCACCAAGCAAGTGCGTTCTTCCTGCGTTTGATTTTGGATAGTTCAGTAGAATGAATGCCTCTGGTCCATGAACATATTAATAACTTCAGGTTTCCAGCTCTCCCCAAAGTGGAATTTTAACCCAATCAATCTGAAGTTTCCTGATCAGTACAAGTTGAAGTGATCTGTGTAAGAACTGGGGAAAGTTCCTTCCCCCAAGGAAAGGTGGCTTTACTTTAAATAACCTTAATTTTCTTTTGCCAATAACCTTGTCTCACCCTCTGACTATAAAAATATTCCATTTGTGTAAGCCCTTTTAGAACCCTTCTACCTGCTGCATGGGCTGTTGACCAATTCATGAAATGCCCAATAAAGCCATTAGATCTTTCCATTTATTCAAATTATTATTATTTAAGCAGAGGATAGATGTGGGGAGCTGACTTCAAAATGTGAAAATGCAGGTAAGGCTAAAAGTCAAGGGGCACACAGAAGATCCAGGAAGGCGACCTGGTACAGCCAGTCAGGTGCTAAGCCTCACAAGGATTTGTGGCTTGCTTATGGAAAGGTTAGCTACAATGGCTGCCAGGTGGCAATCCTTTCACTCTGGAGAAAACTAGTTTTCCAAGTGTAAGAAATTGCCCTCTGCTGCAGTTCTACTCTTAAATTACCATTTCATATTCATCAGTTCTAATGTCAATGTACTTGCAAGAAGGCTCTACTCTGTGGCCATTGGTGTAGCTTTCAGAAAATACAATGTTAGGACATTTCTTTTCCAGCTGTGATCCCAAAGGTGAATGTTTATCAGCAAAAAAAGGAGTGAAATGGCCATTCTAAAAGGATCACAGACTTCAGTAAAAGACCAGCAATAAACGTGTGTCTAGATCTTTGAGTTAAAGGCTATAGATTGTTTGGAATAGCTTGAAAATCTGCTTCTGACGGACTACAGTATACTGTTTTCAAATCTTGGTTACTGATGGCAAAGTTTATTTATTGACTTTTAGCCACTCAAACTATGGCATTATTAGTGTAGCAGCACTTCCTCACTGGAATTTGCATTTTTTTTCCAGTTATCCTGCTACCAAATATAGAGTAATTAATTCTGGCTTTTCAGAGCATGAGTCTTTAACTGAGCTATGAAGATGGCATATTTAAGTGTTGTAAGTACTATTGTATCAACCATTTTGATATTAGTAAATAAACTCTAAGTGATGTCAACAGATAAGATTCCTCTACCAACTCTGACAAGTTGCTAGTATTAGATACTTCTCTAAATTTAAGCCAAAATTGTCATGCTTAAAAATCAATATTTAAAACCAATTTTCTGAAAAACAAACACAAACTTATTCTATGTAACCAACAGGTCACTTAAGTGGTACCAGTGGTAAGAAAAAAAATTCAAAATTATTTCTTTGTTGAGTTTTCCACATGAACAAACTTGAAATAGAACTTTGCATAGCTTGGGTGATCATCATCAGGTTTGATTATTAAAGACTCTCCACATAAAAATTATTGGCACTGTCTTATGGTCAAGAAATGCAAACTGGGGCCTCCTCTGATGGCGCAGCGGTTGAGCGCTGGGCTGCGAGGCTGCCTGCAGCCTCTGCAGCGCGGGTTCAGTCCCCGGCCGCCGGCGAGGGTCCCACAAAAGAAAAAAAAATGCAAACTAGTGGTGGTCTTCTTATAAATCCCTCTTACACAATTTATAGCCTGACTCAGTTGCTGTTTTTTCATCATGTACATTAATAAACAAAACATGGTTGTACATCTGATTCTGATAATGATAGCTATACATAAGGTGAGCTGAGACTTTTCAACATTTTGATAACGTAGAACAGCTGGATGCAGTTTCACTACTTGGATATTTTTTAGACAATATTTATAAACCCATTCGGAGGGCGCTGTACATTTTTCACTGCCAGATGGTAAGAAAACTTGAATTTCTGTGTCAGAAAATACTCATCTTTGGGAAAGTGCCTTCCTCCTACATTACCATTAATAACATATTTATAAAAATAAAAACTCCCAGGTCATTAGTGCAAAGATATAGGTTTTTTTTTTCATTTTCTAAATAAAAGGTTCTCTGTTATGTATGCATATTTGCCCTTCTCAAAACTCTATGTGTATCATTATGTGTTTACACACCTATGTATGTGCAAACACACACTGATTGTGGGAAAATGACTGAAGACCCCTTTCTTTAAAATGAACTCAACACCCATCAAAATTAAATAAAAATCTTCTAATAACATCTTAAAACAAGTATGTATCAAATCAACTTTAATTCTGAAAACTGTACAAACTCTCTCCCACTTTAAAATTCTACAGCATTTATCTAGTTCTGTACAGGATAACAGAATCGAGGGTAGGCAGGACAGGTTATAGGCTGATCATCTTATTGAGCTTTGCTTCAATTGCCCCATCTCCACATGCGCTAACTTGCTAGTCACCTTCATTTTTTTCCCCCTGCATTTTCCTGAGAAGGGCAAAGCATCCTTGAAGACACTGCTATTTCATGATCAGAGATTTTATGCTTAGAGAAAACCTAAAAACCAGAGAACACCCACAACATAAGTTATTTCAAACCAGAGACAATGCATTTTTTTTCTCTTTTTCTCATTTATTCAAATTCACTGCAGGAAGTAAACACTAAAAGATTAAAAAACAAAACAAAAAATTCACACTGTAGTATGTACAGTTTCATGACATCACATGAAGAAATTATATTTCTAATAAAAATGACAAATTATATTACTGAGCAGAATTGCATCAAAATTAGTTGTGTAAACCCCAGAATTCATACCATGAATGGTAATTTTAGTGCCTGTACTCCTGGTAATATTATGCTTTCAATGGGATTTAAAAAATTCATGAAAGTAGCTGTGTGAACTCCATGTTGAAAAGTGGTTGACTTGATTTTAAAAAGTTTTAAGACCCTTGGATTCAAAGCACATTCTTTCACAAAGCTTAAACCACATAAGTCATATCCAGAAATGGAAATACTGTCATGTTGGGGTGAACATCTGGTCTGACTTGTTAAGACATTTTGCCAAATGCACAGATGCACAGGGTCCCCCATGCACTTTTCATGCAGCAGGTAATCACAACTTAAATAAAAGGTTTATTCTATACATTTGTCCAGACTTGCAACTGTATACATACATGCACAATTTTTAAACCTGTCTGATTATATTTACACTTATACATGGAATATACAGAAACCAAAGGAGATTGAAAGGCTTTTGTGTTGCATTAGAACAATACAAAATATGTATTTTTCATTAAGGAAATCGCTATTTACATCACCTTTAAAAACCGATTTTAACATCTTCATGTAACAAGTCAATATATATATATACACATAATATATATATATATAAAATATATACTCTCACCAGTTTACTCTTCTGTAAGATGCAGCAGAGAATAAACAGGTAATGCTACCTTACTGATGTCAATGAGAGCTGTATGTAGTACCCTTTCACAAATGACTTCATTAGGAAGAAATTGTCTAGATATCTAAAATAGTCCTTGAAAATGTGTTTATGTGCATCCTTGTATCTACATATGCATAAACAAAGTGAATTTATGGACGTATGCCCTTTCTCACTGCTCTTCTTTAAAATCATCCTGAACTCAAATTAGGGACATTCTCTACTGAAACAGAACAGCATTCTTTGCGATCAAATTAATTTATGTATTACATATCCTCATTCCTTTGTTACCAACCAACCAACCAACCAACCAACCAACGAACCAAACAACCAAAGAAACAAAACAAAAACAACATTGGCCTTTGATGTTCTTTTCCCTGACCTAAGTTTCACTCCCTTGTAAAAGCCCACCTTCCCCTAACCAAGGGGGAATAACAACATTTTTCTAGTATATCTCTAAGGCTCCAGACTTTCACAATGGCAGGGAAAAAGGACTTGTTCAAAAGCTTATTTATAGTGTAGACAATAAGACTGTCACAGAGTAAATATGGGATGAAGCAGAATACACTCACTGGCCAGTGGAATTTTCATTTCAGAATAAACATACACCTTCATCTCTCCGTGATGTAACATAATATTCACTTCCGACAATTATAATATATCCAGTAACTATTTACAAATCATTTTGAGAAAAAAATAATCATTTAGGGTTTTAGATCATCTTAGGAAATAACGCCCATTTTTAATATAAAAATCTTAGAAACAACTTCAAGTAGAACAACTTCAAATAGAGTTCCTCCTAATTAATAGTTGATTATATAACAATTTTTTGATAGGTCAGTTGCTAACCTGGTTCACAATTAAAAAAAAAAATATCTGGTGAATGAACTGAGGATTGTAAAAACTGAACTTAAAAACATGGAGTTGCTTCAAGTCAAAACCCCATGTGTCTCAAGAATATATTAAGTTCTTCCAAGACAACATCAAATTTACGTTCAATCACTATTTTAAAATAATAGATCCAATGGAGTGATTGTGTACAATTGTCACGTTTATGTGCCCTTTGCACTTTTTTATTTAATCGATCTAAGTTTAGTGCCTTTCTTGGGTTTGAAATAAATGCTTTCATCTTTGTCAGCATTGTTCTTAGAACGATGATTTTAATAGAAGTTAAGGATGTATTCAGGAGAAGTTTCCAAACCATCCTGGAATCACCTGAGTTTGGTTAAGTGGCCCTGTTATTCCATCCCTAAGGCTGATTAAGTAGATGTTACTCATTAGAACACATAAATAATCACAGATTTTCCTGAGATGTTGTGCCAGATATGAAAGTTGTCCCTTCCACCCAATTTTTTTTTTTGTCATAAAAAGTATTCTGAACCCGATTTCCAAAGATATAACGGTAATATATGAACTACAATATCCCAAATTTTGAGTTCATGTGTGACTATACTGGGGAAAATATAGGCATCAAATAGCTTTTTTTTTTTTTTAACAGTCCCGTGTTCTGAGAAAAGTCATAAGCAATGATTTTCAAGCTTCAGTGTGCAGACCACCTAGGAAATATGTTAAGATGTAAATGGAAGATTCCCAGGATCACTTAGCAGAGATTTCTTGTTTTGTAGATGTGAGATGCTCCCTAGGAATCAGCATTTTAAAACAAGTGCTCCAGCTCGTTCTAATGCAGGTCTGAGTCCAGCTTTAAGAAACCCTGGTCATAAGACTCACAAGTACCACAGAAATGGTGAGAAGTGACTTTTGTAAGAGATGATGAAAACTGTCCAAAGAAATGCCATTTTGCTTCTGTTAAAAAAAAGTCTTAATATTCAACTATTCAGGAAACCACCTGATGATAAATGTTAACTTTCCTAATTCTGTAAAAGGAGGAATATTAATTTAGTAAAGTAGTTACAATACAAAAATGGAAATCTTTCTTTTTTTTTTTAAGGATCTATCAAACTTCCATCAAGTATAATCAATTTTTACTAAGTAGTACAAGGTTTAAAGAAATATATATTGAAAAGGACTGGGGTGGGGCAGACACATTGGGAACCACAAAACCCCTTCCAAGAGTTAAAAATAAATGTTTTTTTTTCCTTTTTTTTTTTAGCAAAAGTGAAAAATGTAAGCATTTTTTTTTCTAATTTATTTTTGAATTGGACAATGATTAGTGAATCAGCACTTGGGTTTTAATTCAACAATTATCCTTGAAAGAGTTATTCAACAATTTGGACTTTAAAAAATGTATTATGTAGGCCAACTTTTAAAAAGCAAAAGAAAAGTCCCGTAATAAAGGCAGCAAAATGCATTAATCCACTATGGATGGAGATTTACATTTTAATTTTTATGCCTATTGTTTGTGATTATAAAAGAATTTCATTCATAGGCTACTCACAGTTGTTGCCTGATGCATACAGAAGTGTTAAACAACCAATTGCTAGTTCAGTAGTTTCCTCATGACATCTAACATAAAGCAAAAAGTAGTATGCATATTTAAACATCACCAGTAACCAATACTTCTCAAAATGAAAAAAGTTTCAATTATACCATGCTTTTCTCAAATCATGCTCTTATTTATACAGATCTCAAGTTCATACTAATTAGTTTTAAAAGATCCAAAGCTGGATGGCAGGTACATTTTATTCTGATTCCTTTTTTATTGTCAGCACGTTTCCCAGAAGTCCATAAACTTCTCCATTTGCACTGTGTGGGTGAGAGGCATTATTTCCCATATGGCTATTATAAGGGCTTCTTAAATTAAAGAAAGAAGCTTTAGTTTCTGCAGCAGGAAGTAATTCTTCTTTGACAGTAACCTGTGACACACTTTCAGCAGATGAAGGCTCCCTCCAAATGTCCTTGTCCTGTGTTTCCCGACTGGTAACAGAACTGCCTCCTTTCTGGAGCATGTAATACAGTATTGGGTTAGTTTTGGTCAGCCTTGGAGAGTCTTTCTCATACTCGTTCTTGTCAGCATCTGTGATGACCCACTTAATGGGTCCCTTCTCACTGGGCATGGAACACCCATTCAGAAGCCCAGATTCTGGTCTAGACCCCCCACAGCCCAAGGGCTCAGGGAAAGGCGGACTCACGGGAGTTTTAACGACCCCTGGGTATGGAAATGTCCTGTTATCCGCACAACTGTGGGGCTGCGAGGAGCTGTAAGTGAGTCCATTTAAAGAAGAAATGCTGAATTCAGGCTTGCTGTTAGTCACATTATTCTTGTGTCCTTTCTTTTTGCTGTCGATGACGGAGTTACTCCTATGTTGGGACAAATCTCTCACACAGTTTTCCGAGAGAAGCAGCTGTTTCAGAACATTGAAGCTTTTGCTCTCTCTTGCCCAACTCCTGTGTTCACTTTCGCTGCCTGAACTGTGACTGGCAGGATATTTAAACTCAAGATCATTTCTGCTAAGTTGTAGCTCTTGTTGGTTAAGCAGGGACCCACACAGTACCTCCGGAGCACTGTGACTGTTTGCAGCATCTACAATGTTATTTTTCATCTTTTTAAAAGGATTTTCTAAAGGCTCCGCATAAAGCTTCCTCTTCTTGGGGACCATGCAAAGATTCTTTGATTCTAGAAGTGTCAGGTCGCTATTTCTGTGACTGTTGTCCAGATCATCTGCCAGGTAACTCTCTTGATTTTGCCTCAGTAGTCTACTTAGCAGACCATTCTTGGAGAAAGAGAAGTCCTGAGGTGATATGGGCTCTGATTTAAAGTCCTCGGATGCTGGTAAGGCAGCTGCGCTTCTCTGCACGGGGGGAGCCATGCCCAAGAATGGGGCACCCTTAGCATCGTGGCTCAAGTGTGCATTTGTATTATGAATGTGTAAGTCATCGCAAGGCTCAGATTTTATTTTTACCATCAGTATTTGTTCACTTAAAGCTCTGTCTGTGTGTTCCTGAGTATTTTCATCCCTTAAAGGAATTTTCTCTTTCTTTTCACTCTTCCCTTTGTTGGGATTGCCCAGGAGCAACTGGAGGACAGTGCGCCTTTCCAGCAGATTTTCTATTTCAGAACCAGAAAGTCCTGGCTCAGGACCTGTTGCTTGACTACAGAAGGCTTTATTTTCTTCAACTACACTTGTTTTACTTGTGAACAGAGGACTATTTAATCTGTCAACCATACTGATAGGTTTATCTGTGTTTATACCCAGCAGCTGTTTACTGTGCCTCTGCTCTTCGGCTGAGAGGGAAGACTGCATTCCACACTGCGCTAAATTCTGTAACAGTTTACTGGCACTGAAAGTTGCGGGGTTTTGGGCACCTTCATTCTGGCCTGACTTCTCTCCTTGTGATTCTTTGCTTTTTGTCAGGTCCATGAGGTGGTTAGATGTGGAATTTGCGGCTGGCTTTTCAGACTGGGTGCCGCAGGCATATGGTGGGGAATTCCATTTTATGACCAGAGAGTGTTGGGAAAGGTTGATGGGAGACTCTGCTTTGGTGGAAGCAAGTAATGGTGGAGTGCTCACGGGAGTAGTCCTGTTTGTGCTGGGGCTTTCGATTACAGAAGTCCTCATGTAGTTCTGTGAACTGAACTTTGTCACGTCACTGTGTCCTTCCTGCGGGCTGTTGTTTCCTTCTCCATTTTCCTCATTTTTATGGCCAAGTAGCAACTGAAGAAGTGTTACTTTCTGGTGTGAATTTAGCTTAGAATTCTTTGAGGTATCTTGATCTACTTTGACATCGACATCAGGAACTTTTGGATCCCAAGTGTTTAGCAAGGATTGGGTTAAATTATCCAGAGAAACAGGTTGGTCAGGTTCTAGTTTTTCGCTTCTGTGTTTGCAAGACAAGTCTATGGGGACACAGTTGGAATAGGAACTCTCATCACCGCTGCTATCATCTGTAAAACTAGGGTTGTTATCTGAATAGTCATCAATAGTTGTAGGGGTACTACTATCCTCAAAAATGCTGCCTCTCTCACTGTGATGGTGTCCATTCATGGGCTTAGGTATGGTCTGGCTTTTAAGAAGATGTAGAAGCAAACTATTATTAGCAGCTTGTTTTATATTGTTTCTTTCCAGTGAATTCTTGTAGCCTGCATTTTTGGGGGAAGAAGGAATGATACCCATTGGATTCTGAAAGGCTGTACTTTTGCTAGTCATTAGTTTACTTGATGTTCTTGCCTGACCATTAAGATGGTTTGACATTCCTTTGGAGAGCTGGAAACTGCCAACATCCTTCTGGCCATTCTCTTGTAATCTGGCCATAGCAGCCAGTCTTTCACTGGCTGCCTGATTTGCATTTTGTGTTTTTAAAGCATGTTCCCGAGAATACTGTTGTAAATGGGCTTCGCTTGAAAGGAGTAATGCTAATTGGCTACAAGCAACACTAGGTTTGGGTGAAGTGGCAGGACTAGCCCTTTTTTCCACCATGCTTGCGACAGCCTGTAATCTTGCGGCACAAGACAAGGGCTCACTCATGACCTTTGTTCCACTTTGTCCAACGTGATGAGGTGACTCTACAAACTGATCTCTGATGAGGTTTTTAGTTACATCAGGAAGATTGGTATCAGGCTTTTGATCTTTAGCTTTACTTTTCTTCAACAAAGTTTTTAAGTGACTTGAAGCAACACCATAGCACCTTAGATCTTTCTCCATTTTTAAAGAATCATGACTGAGGGCATATCCTTGCTCTTTGAGGCTCTGCCTAATTTGTTGTGAGAGAGCAACTGTCTGCAGCCTAGAGCTGAATGACTGAAGCAAAGAGGCCAGTAACGTGCTATCCTGTTTGCCTTTCGGCACACTGTCCACCATGCCAGCCAGCAAAGCTTCCTTCTTTACGTTTAAATTTACGATGGAATCAGACAGCCTCTTCCGCTTTGCTGCATTCCAGTCCTCAGAAGACTGCAACAGTCTGGCTTTTTTGAGATGCAGCATGCCAGATCCTTGATAGGTCTGCGTATTGAGAACTGGACCATTACTTTGACAGGTGGGAAAAGCATTATCAGAAATGTTAAAGTTCTGATCTTCTTCATTATGCCCAGCAGACTTTTTGTCGATGTCAGTACCTGATCCCTCTGCTGCCTGATGCATTAGTAATCCTTCTAGGTAAGTTAAAACAATAGAATCCTGGTGCACATCAGAGCCAAGCTCTTCTCCATGAGTCATGTTCAATAGAAGTGTTCACAAGGGCTTGGCTTCTATTTACTTTAAAGAATGGTTTTCTGTGAAAGATGTTACTTTAATAAGTGAGTGTCAGTTTATCACCTTCCATAGTAATTAGATACAGATGTATGCTACATTCCGACCAGGGTTCTTCTGGCAATGAAAAGATAAAAGGCAGGCAAACTCCAATGCAGTCAGACGAGAGTTGACCAACTCCTAAGCAAGGAGCAGCAGAATTCTTTATCACACAGGTCTGCAGCAGTAAGCAGATATGCTCTTTAGTGAATATTCACTTCTCCTTCTTCATCCTTTTGTTCCCCATTAAATGCAAGAATCAGCTTTCTAAAAAAATAAAAATAGAAAATTATTAAGGAGGTTCAGAGGTAGGATTATGCTATGATACCTATAAACAAAAGAATACAGTACTTAGAAGATTCTATGTATACTACACATACATATGTAACCTACATATATACAATAATGTAAATACATATGCACTATAGTCATATCTTAAGTAATTTATTTATTGCCATTTCTATTAATTGAAAATCTCTGCCAGAAATCCTACGGATTAATCTATATTAAAATATCAAATGGATTAGAGAAAATAATCTTATATAACTGTCTTCCAAGTCCACCACGTTTCTGAATTCTCCTAACCGCATTTTTTGCAAAGTAATGTGAATGCTAAGTCTCCCTTACAGCACAATACCGTTTCATGAGGGAATCAGATTTAGCTTCTGTACATTACCGGACTTAGGGAAGAATTGAAAAGAGGAAAAGAAGTGCACATGACAAGAACTCTACTGATAAATCTGACGTGGATGGGGTTGAGCCCAACAGAACAGACTCACTTCTGCCATCATCCTCCAAACATCAGACATCTGTAAGTAATTTGTACAATTTCTGCTGTTAAAGGAATGGAAGCACTAACATGTTTGTAAGATTATTTTGCAGACCTGTGCAAGATATGACAGTCTTAACCATATTCAAAATATAATCACCATCTGATTCACCTGTAAGTTTTCCTTGACTTAATGAAAACAGAAGTGAGTTCTTCTGTAGCATTCATTCAGGTTTCATGTGTCTATGTTTAAATTCTTATTCATATCTTCTGCAGAAATTTTAATGTAAGCTCCATCCCTAGTAGATGCAGTGGACAGGTAACAGGTAGGATTCCTACAGTCCTAGGAATATCAGGGATGTTCCTAATATAAAATGCTCTCTACCCAGGCTATTTTTGTGTGGCTTTGTATTAATAATTATAAATGAATTAAAATATATGTGATTTAAAAAAAATTAAGTGAAAATCATAATAAAAAATATGTTAGTGAACTTCTACTAATTTTAGTTTAGAAAATCTAGTTACTATAATACACTTAACAATCAAACCATCCTGCAGAAAAAAGGGGCAAAACCCAAATTAATTACCTCCCTAAAATTCTAAGGTGGTAATTTTAAAATTAATTTCCTTGAAAAGAAATTTTATATACAGCCCTAATTACATAGAGCAGTGAGAGAGAGAAGTTTTTCATAGAAATTTTTTTTTTTTTTAAGTACAATGAATCTGTAATTCAAAGATCATGGTTACTGAGATGCTGCTTCATGGGGCCTTCGGCGGCAACACCTACGGCCAGCCATTTAGGCAGAAAATGAAATGCCTAAGAAAGTAGGAATTCTGAGACAACTCGGCCCCATCTGTTTGAAAGCACTGTAGGGAACTGAGTGAGCCACATTTCTTCAGATAACTTCTTTTTTTATCTCTTAAACAACAAAAGTGGGAGAAATCATTAGCAATGCTACCTTCCAAGTCTTGCCTTTTCATTTCTATAGCACAGATTTTATGGGTTACTCAGTCTTACTGGATCTTCCCACGTATACAGGAGGTATACATCGTATAATTAAACTCTTTATAGCTTTTTTCCCTCTTATCACTTCGTCAGATACTTGTCTGATTATAGCACAATATTTAATGGAGAAAATTTAGGGGAAAAATAGGAGGCACGGTATCTGGATACCGTGAGACCTATTTAGAGTATAATGTAAAATATTACCCTCACCTACTAAATAGACTTCTTCAGGTTAAAATCGTTCAATTTAAAGTTACTCAGGACTAGCCTGACTCATTTTCTTTTAGCAGAAAGACAACCACATTATTTTTGAATCACCAATGCAGCTTGCTTCCTTGATTTGATATATACTTTAAGAACGACGCCAGATGTTTAACATTACTTGAGTACATTCAGTTAAAGATAACGAAATGCCAATTCCTAATCAGGTTTCTTAGAGATTTTCAAGCAACATATCTAATAACTGGAATATTTCATAAAAAAATGATTCACTGGCTAGTGTGTATCTTCTGGCTTGTCCCTAACTTCAACAGTTATTTTACTAGAGGTTTTCTGTATGTCGATTTAGAAATAGTTGGCATTATCTTTATAAACACAGGAAGGAAGAATCTTTTATATATGGCATATACTTGTTAAATAATTTCTACATAAAGGAAAAAGAATTATCCCAAATACTGAGTTTATGGAGGTAAAGAGTGGGGACGAGAGACGAAAAGTACTGGAGGGACAGGAAAAAAAAAAAATTACTAAGAGCAAATTAAAGTCTCAAAAATTTTGCAAATCTTAGGTTTTAGAAGATTTAGTTTAGAAGCTAAAATAGATCATATTGATAGATGTAATGGACAGAGTGAAAATTTATTTAATAAATACTGATAATACATATATTAGAAGGGAGAAAAAAGTCCCAATTGATAAAATAAAAGCTCACTGAACAATGTTTCAATTAAGCTGTCGTTTTCATAGGGTGGTGCCATAAAATTTTTAGAAATACTAATTTTAACCAAAAAATTTAGTGTAACACTCAGTATTCTTAAAAGTGACTTAATTTTGATTTTAGAAGTAACATCCAAAATCAAAATCAACTCTTCATAATTTTAATGTATTCATTTAAACTCCAAGTATAAGAAAAATAATCATCATCATTTACCATCTGGGCCCAAAGAACATTTTACTAATATTTTATTAATTATTGATAAATGATTATGAATAATTTACAGGATAATAATGGAATATTATAAAAGAGCTTTATTAAAAATTTTCATAAAATTTAAACAGAAAATTCCTTAGTTTCCTGGTGTTGAAGAACTACACATCTGATATGGACTGGATATTTTGATACTGACAGCTAATGACTGTCATGCATGAAACTGGCAATTCCTGTAAATACAATTTAAATTCCAGATTTTAAATAAATTTAAAAAGCCCTAGCTTTATCATCACTCTGGATCTATTTTTTGCTTTGTACTTGTTTTTGTATTTGTATGAAAGTGCTACATTGACGGTTAATTACGGTGAAGACAGGACAAATACCTTCTTCATTTCATGACTACAAAACATCTTTCATTTTATTTATTGGCACCGATATCAATCCAGTGAATTATTTATTTCCAGTTTCTTTTATCCCATACCTGTATTCTGTATTTGTTCATGTATGAACTTTTTCAAATAAATTTGGGTATATCAAGATCATAAAAGAAGAATAGTGTCACCTATCCTTCTGGCAAAATAGAGCAGTCAAGGCTCTTACCACGAAATACTAAATAATGAATACTGAGTTACTTCCTATTAAGTAATAAACTACATGAAAATACTATATTTCCCTTTTATCTGAGAGCTATATCATACGGTAACTGTGAGGTAAAGGATGTGTTAACTAATCTTACTGTGTCCATTATTTTGCAGTACACATAGACACATGTCAAATCTTCCCTTGAATATAAAAAAACTTATACAAAGTCGTAAGTTCAATTACATCTCAGTAAAGCCGGTGTGGGGTGGGGAGGACCTATATTGTTCACTTATTCCTGAGTTTGAGAAAATTTACATAGGATACTGTCATCTGAAGGTAACAGTCAGAGATGCTGCTTATACAGCCACTGTCAGCATCATCATTCATGCCTAGAGTATTAGTATCAGTCTCTTTGCATTCATTCTCAATCTCTCATCTAATCGAAGCATCTTCCTGTACCAACTTTTTCTCTTTGACAGTATAGATGGAATATGAAAATTACGGAATTTTCTACAGTGCTTACAAAAACTTAAAAAAAAATAGAAATACAAAGATATTCTGTGTCCAGACTTTTTTTCCCCCACATCTTGAAATAGTATTAAGATCTGTAATAAGGAAAGTTTAGATGACATTATAATGATTTATTTCACTACTGTACCATCCTTCTAAGCACTTCCATTATTTTTCTTTTGGCTTATTATTTCAGTTTTTATTTGGCATAACTGGAAATAAATGAATTCATCTTCAAGATGATAAAGTGGCAAAACCTTAAAGACAAAGGAAAAATAAGGGCACTAAAATTCTATAATGTACCTTCTATTTACAAAGTTTCCAATGGTTAGATAAGGTAACAGCAAGATACCAAATTTTTTTCTGTATAAAACAGAATTAAGAGGCCAGAAACAAACCTAAACATAACGAGCAACTATTTTATGACAAAGGAGACAAGAATATACAACGGAGAAAGGAAAGTCTCATCAACAAATGGTGCTGTGCAGCCTTGTATTTTGCATATCTTGCTAATACTATTTCAAGATCTAAAAAAATAGTCTGGACACATAATATCTCTGTATTTCTATTTTGTTGTAAATCTTTCTATTTTGTTTTTATGCAAAAGACTGAAACTAGACCACTATTATACACCATATGTAAAAATTAACCTGAAATGGATTAAAGACTTAGGTGTAAGACCTGAAACCATAAAATATATAGAACTCATTGGTGAAATAATCCATGACACAGGTTTCATGAATGCCACTGAGGATATAACTCAAGGAAACAAGAGGAGATAAAAATTACATCAGAGTTGAAAATTTCTACACAAGAACAACTATCATCAAAATGAAAAGACAGCTTATGGAATGGAAGACATTTAAATATTAGACATTCAACAAGGGTTAACATCCAATATAAGCAGAACTCCTATAACTCAACAACAACAGAAACAACCAATTAAAAAATGGGCCAAGGCCAACAAAAAATCATGTTCATTATCACTAACAGAGAAATGCAGATCAAAACTGCAATGACATAGTACTTCACACCTGTTAGATTTACTCTGATGAAAAAGACAGGAATCAAGTGCTGATGACGATGTGGAGAAAAGGGAACTCTCATACACTGTGGTGAGAATGTAAAACGGTGCAGCCCCTATGGAAAATAGTATGGGGATTCTTCTCTTAAAGAGAACAGATTAGTGGTTACCAATTTGTGAGGCAGGTGATTGTGTAAAGGGATCAAAGGTATGAAAATGGTTTGGAACT